ATGGTCCTCTCGCCGCTGCCCCTCGCCGGGACAGAGGGAGCTTGAGGTGCAGACAGAAGGGAGATGCAGCAACATCCCTGGCTGGGAATCTCTTGAGATGAGGCGGACACCCGCCGCCGCCGCCGCGTCTGAAGCAGCTCCGCGTTTCTGAAGGTAGTTTATTTGGATGGGAAGGCAAGGCGTGATGGGGCGCAGCCTAAGCCCCCCTTGCCTGTGGCCGGAGGGGGCACCGAGCCCTCTGGTCCTGGCTCCCTGGGGTGTGTGTGGGGTGGCTTTTCTGGCCGGCCCTTAAACTGAATTACTAGAGAAGAGACGGGAGGGAGGGTGCGACGTGATTTCTACATGTGCATCTCACACCTTGGGTCGGTTACTGGACATTAAGTACACCGCGGGAATGTACTTTTCTGCTATTAGACGCGGTTTCATGATAGCCAAAAACAGTGGCGCGCCGCCTTCAGAGTCTTTACAGACCTTTCTGTGGCCTCAGCTTTGCTAGCTCAGAGCCCCCCTCGTTGGGCTCCAGGCTCCCGATTACCAAAGCATAAGGTATCCTGTATTAACCTTTAAGGGGTTTGTCCAATTTAGCAGGCTAATGTAGCAACACCTTTGAACTGATTACTGTACAGACTGTCCCGGAAAATCTGGAACTGCTCCTTTGCACTCGCAGTCTAACCAGGGCTACTAAAGAGTAGAAAAGAAGAGGATTTCCCCCCCCCCCTTCTTGAACCACACTTTCAGCATGATGGTGGGGCATGCAGTAAACTATACTATAGGTAGCTGTAATTATAGCTCAGGGAGATGAAATGATCTGTACATTCTGCTGGAGGTTGAGAGGATTAATTCACAGGTATCAGAGATGTAAAATAGAAGAGGTGGCTATATGCACATCAGTGCATATGGAGACATGAAAATTATTGTCTCTCTTAGAACTCTGCCTTTGTTCACCCGGTGCTGTGGACTGGCTCCGATTCTCAGTGGAAATTTTTGGAAATAGGTTGGCCTTGTGATAAAGAAGAACACAATGACACAGCGTTGAAGGAGGATATGAGTTATATGGAATTCTCCACCATCCTGCCAGGGTGGTAAAAGTTCCAGCCTTGTCCAGAGCTAGAAGTGGGCTGGCTGGAATAGAAGATCTTGAGGATTCTACTTTCACTGGGGTTCTATAATACTACTCTGATTTCCAGAGATAATTAAACCAACAGCTGGAGTTCACAACTCCAAATTCTCATACTCTAAAGTTCTTTCTCTGCTGGCTTGGGATTTCCCTGATGTCAATTTCCAAATAGTCCTAGCAGCTCCCCAGTTTAATTGGAAGAAACGGAAGGAAGAAAAACCTATGCTTTTCAACAAGCTATTGGTAGAAACAAGCTTTTGTATGGATGAGATACACCCTTACTTCTTCCCATTTGGATTGAGAAAGACATTAAAGATTTCACTGAATGGGCAGCATCTCTGTGCTCCTAAATGATATGAGGCACTCAAAGTAATGAGAATAATACTTAGCCCAGATGATTTAATTTATATGGTGCAACAAGAAAAGTAAAGTTGTTTCAGTTGAATGGACTGTTATTATTATTTTTAAGAACCCATGTCTATTATATGGCATTGGATTAGCCCTAAACAATATTCTGCTATTTAGAAGAGCCTAACCCTTCCCCTGAGAGTGAGGCCATGTCGCTGATTAAGATTGTGCCATCTATAATCTCTCCCAGTCTAAAAGCTGGGTTTCATCTTGCAAAGAGAAGACCACCTGAAACTGAGCAGACTTCAAGTAAAGGAGAATGTTCTTATTTATTTCCCCCCTCCCAAACACAATAAGTTTTCAGACTTTGCTGGATAGTTCCAGCTTTCAGAAAAAATCTTTTTGCAGGTGGGGTATTTCCCTGGAAATAGACATCTAATCTATTCCCATTCATAATGGCAGTTCTCTTGCGGTAGCAAAGCTACTTTAATCTGTTATGTGCAGATCAGCTGTTCATGATGGTTTTGTAGAATAATTCTATACAGTAAAGACCAAAATGCAATATAGACATGTGTTGACTGTTATAATGACTCCTAAAAAAGGATTGTTAGGGCAAAGATTGATTTTCAAAACTCTAGGGTTTTTAATGAACTATTGTTAATACACATTGAAGTAGTATATATATATATATATATCTTTTTCATATTTGGAGTAAAACAAATTTTACAGTTCTGTTTATTTTTCAAGATTGTGTTCCATCAACACAAATGCCAAGATGTATCTATATATATATATATATCTTTTTCTTATTTGGAGTAAAACAAATTTTACAGTTTTTTTTATTTTTCAAGATTGTGTTCCATCAACACAAATGCCAAGATGTATCTATATATATATATATATCTTTTTCTTATTTGGAGTAAAACAAATTTTACAGTTTTTTTTATTTTTAAAGATGTTGTTCCAGCAACCAAAATGCCAAGAGGTTTGGGGGGGGGGGGGAGATAGAATAAATATGACTTCTTACTGATATTTTATTTTAGAATTTAAAGGTTACTAGATAACGAAGTCCTTAAGCAAGAAATAAAAAGTAAAATTCAGGAACAGAGCTTTAGAAGTAGCAGAGAGTGAAATCACTTTAAAGGTGAAAGATCAGAAACATTGGAAAAATATAGACTTTTGCTTGAAATTGAAATTATACTAACCCGATAGATGCCAAGTACATATTTCTGGGAAGAACATTCCTCAATCTGAAGAAAAGCTTTTCTTGTAGAGAACTGCTGCACCATGTTCAGCAGGGACATTCAGAGAAAGTCCTCTGAACATCACAAAATCCAGGTAGGTAGGTAGGTAGGTATGAAGAGACACAGCCTATTCCTCTTTCTAAACTAACATCTAATAAAAAAGAGCTCCTTGAATTGAGCCCCCAAATATGATGGTGCCAGTGATACGTACTGATATGATGGGTTCATTTCTCTCTGTCCAATGAGTAAATTTGCCACCACATTTTGAAATTTCTAGCTGTTTTTTTTCCAACTTTATACGAAGCCCCGTGTTCAATGCATCGCTGTAGTTTATGTGTAAATGAAACCATATCTGTTAGGTTGGAAACCATCTGACAGGCAAAAAGATAAGTAGAAAGTGTATCATCTTTAATACTCAGGCTGTGAAACAATTTTTTGTCATTCTAGAAAGAAGATCCTTAATTCAAAGCAGGCTGTTGACAACAGTTGAAAATAATTGTGGGACCTTTTGAATAAGCATTTAACAGAATGTTCTGTAGTATGTTAGTGTTGTCAAGGGTAAACTGAGATAAAAATCAGGAGAAGCTGTATAAGACAGACAGAGAATGAGAAAGAGAAGATACAGGCTGACATGTTAGTACCATTATTTACATTCTAAAGGCCTGCAGAGCTTAAGTGAAATTCCATCCCATGGAGCAATTGCTGGCTTTTAGTAGTGATTTCATTATTTTAAATCAAAGAAGGTCCCTGTGGCCCTTTGGATGTTGCTGAATTGCAGTTTCAAGCAGCCCCAAATAGCATGGCCAGGGATCAGGGATGCTTGTTTCAAATGCAGTCTGCCTACTGCAAAAGATTTAGGATCATGGTGCATTCCAAGTATTGCACACTTTGAACAAAATTTCCTGTGTTAGAGGTCCACTAAACTTGCTAGATGTTATAAGGCATATGAAAGTTCTCCTTCATAATATGATGGGTTTGTACTTGCAGAAGGCAGTTAGGGAAGTGAAAGTTAATACTTTCCTCACCTGTGATTTTCTCATTCAATTTTTTTTCCTGCCATTATATAACTTCTCCTCACAGCCAAGCTGGCTTCTATCTCTGGAACTTAGCTCAGGAAGAAAAAAACAAGCTTCGGGCAAGGAAAGATTGTAGTGAATAAAAAGGGGGGAAGCTCCTGCCTTTGCAGATTTGTCTCTGACTTCTGTGCCTTCATGTTTACCAAGTATGATTTTTTTAAAAATTATCTTAGTTTGGAACATGATTTTTAAGGAAATCAGCAACTAAATTAAGAGAACCCTCTGTATTGCACAAATAGTATGATGCAAATCTGAGATACAACTTGGTAAAATACTCAAGAATATTTGTTCTATTCACTGACCACAAACTTGCATGGCCATCTGATGTTTCACACATTTCAAAGATGTACACTTTGATTATTTTCACACTTCTGTATGTTTCTTTTTAGAATGCTACATTTTAGTCAGTGAAGATGAATGCGTTTTAAATTGGGGTAGCTCATTTGCTTAAGATTCCAAACTAAGATAGTTCTTTTCTTTAATTCAGTCATCCCTAACTTTCTCCTACTAGAAGTGTGCATGAAATATAAAAATAAAATTGTTCTGAGCTTGGAACAAAACCATCATTTAGAATATTTCATTGGAAAAATTTGAAGTCTCCTATCCTAATGGAATAAAACTTGAAACATCTCCAGTGTTCTATGTGACATTAAATTAAAATGTTTTGTGTCTTCCACCATAGGGAGTAGTGAAAACTTGAAACAAGTCCCTTGTTTTTCATAGCGGGATATAAAAGTGGTTCGCTGAATTCTATCTTACCAACCTTGACCAATGAGATAATATTTTAAAAAGTAAAACTTTTAAAATTTCCATTACAAGCAGTTGAAGCAATAGTTGAACAGATGTTTTGCACCCTAACTTGCTGCACAAGCACCCACAGAAATGAGCCCAACAAAGAGACAAACTTTAGCAGTAGATTCCCTTCGGCTTAACATAGCCCTTGAATAACAGCAAAAATACAGTTATCTCCCTGAGGAGCTCTACAAACAAACAAAAAAGCACAATTGTTCTCAGTCTCCAAACTCTGCTTAGCTGGCACTCCTCCTGTCTCCTACGTGTCCTCCACTCAACTAGTTCTGGCCAGTGGCAGAAGAGTTGGAATCTATACCTGCTATCTTCCTGGTGTCTCCATAGTTTGAAGAATAAGCTGATCATAGAATGTTGGAACATTTAAAATAATATCTTTAAGATCAGGGATGAGCACAGAGTTTCAAGTTCAAGACAAAACTTTGAAATATGTGTGCATTGTTCCATGCTGAGAATATTGCATATTTGTGCAAGGGTTAAGTCATAGGAAATAGCTTGGCTCATAGGCTGCAATATTTTGAAACAGTTACAATAATAGTAACAATGACATATTAACCATTG